AACGGTTTTTTGGAAAAAATTGCGTAAATTATGTGTAAATTCAATTTAAAACAAAAAAGAGTTTTTCCTATGTTAATTAAATGGGAAACTAAAATAAAAATAGCGACCCCTTAGATTTGAGCTGTAGGGCTCATGTTTGGCGAGAATTTTTTTTACATCAAATAGAAAAATTTGAGGGGGTAAGAGTTAGAAAAAAAAATTCAAAATTTTGTTTGAAGCACCCTACTGTATATATAGGCTCATATATATCTTAGAATCAACACAATTCCTCCGTTAGTTGGCAGTGTGCGTCGTACAAAGAAGTAAGGGTAGTAACAATAATGATGAATAAACGGAATATATCTATACAATGAGAATTTTTTTTGAAATACTGAACAGATATTTATATATGTGGATATATTATAGATAAGTAACTTTTTAACAAAATTAAGGCACTTCAGATGTTTATATCAGAAAAAAAAATTCTTAAATCTGACTGCTGTTTTGGCTGTTAAGCAATCTTCAAAGACTAATAATTTATTACTAAAAATAAATAACAAAAACAGTTGTCAGGTATAAGAAAAAACGTATTTTTTTTGTGAAACAAACATACGAAACTATAAACTGCCCTACAATAGTTCCCTTTACTGCCCTTTATCTAGGAGATGATGATACTGCATATGTGACGTCTAATGGCTATTAATTTCGAATTTTGTCATTTATAGATCTTCATTCAGATGCTCGTGAACAAATTGTATGCGCTATAAGAACTTTAAGCAATATAGTAGGTTCAGATGAAAACTATCAAGTAAGTAAATGTGTATACAACTTAACACTAGGCACTAGCTGTGTCTAAGATAATAAATCCAAGTAGGTGAAGAAATTCATCTTACCAACAGATGACTGACATATCTAAAAAGACTAAAATTAATAATGTCAAGAGTGTGGATTGTTTTATAGGGAACAATCAATGTGTTTAAACAGCTATTTAAGATAATCAAATTCGATAAAATAAATTAGAAGTGGTCGCATTTGACAGGCAACCTTCATTATCACTTATTTTACAGTTCCGCAGTTGTATGCAAAAACGTTGCTGCAAACTTGGTCTTTTATCTATACACGAAATATTTACTTTAAAAATTCAGCTTTTCTCCATTTTAATGTTTTCAAGTATACGAATGTCGAGTTTTGTGATAGATTAGGTAAATATGTTTACAATGTGAAACATTTATATTCAAAGTAACGAATGATAATTACAATAGAACTACTACTATGTATAAATGCAGACATCTTTCTAAAATTAATTTATCTAGTATCATGTAAAATATGAATTTTTAGCGAAAGCTTTTATGATTCCTTTATCAGGATTCCAAGACAGGCAATGTAAAGGTGAAATATGCTTGAGTAAAAGGTAGACAGCAATAACAAGAAAATACGTGTTTTGAATATAGCCGTAAATTCAATGGCAGGTTCTCATTTCCTTTCCCAAGGAAGGAAAATCGTAAAACCCCTAAAAGACCCTGAGCAGGAACATGTGCCTTCACAAATGGTACAAAGTAGAACCCAATGGATTTTTTATTGCTATTTCCTATTAAATCTAAGTGCTCCCGCGACTCATAACAGCACGTTATAAAGGATGCACTTAGAAAGTGCTTGTATATGAATTCTCGTCTCTAACAATTAGAAAACAGAAAGCAGGGCTCTTAAACTGGTGCGAAAATTCAGTATTATATGAAACTGTCACCTAACATGCAAAAAAATTAATTAAAATATTCATACTGCGCAATATGCTGAAAAGGTTATTAGAAAGACCGCTCTTTCTTCACATTATTATGATTGTTGTATGAGAAATTTCTCGTTCAATGTCCCATAAGGCAATTTTGCCTAATGCATGGGAAAATTAAAATGTTGCTTAGGACAAAATGCCTTAATAAATTTTATCACATGAAGTATTACCGAAATCCAATATACGTCACGAAAAAAAAAATTAGTATGACGAACCTTAACTAAAAAATTAAAATTTTGTATTACTCATTAGACATACAGAGGTCTTCATAAACACTTGTGTACAGCAAATGATACAGAAAATGATATTAATTAAGAAGGTTACTGAAAAACTAAGGGCTCAAAGCAAACTACTATTTTTATACAATTTTGTTCCTATTAGACGATGTCAGGACATACAACGCCTTGCGTTATTCATGCATCACTTATTACGAATGGCGTCCGCTTAAAGAAAAAAGATTTGGGAGGATCAATCGTGTTATACAGGGTGTCCCAGTTATAATAATTAAAAAAGAAACCANATTTAAAATACTACAGTAAGCAGTAAATATCGGTAAGTGACAATAAACCGTCCATGTGAACGTGCAGGGGGACAGTTAAGTGTTAGGGTAGGTACGGTACCTAGCATTAGTATGAGGCTAGCGATACACGATGGCTAAATTACCAGGTATGTAGCACACTAGAAACTGAGGTTATACCTGTAGACTAATGGTTCGTGAAAATATTTTCGCTATACTTGTCAAAGGGGGGGGGGGCAGTTCCATAAATTCGAGGTGGCTGAACAGTGCCGAATTGTAAGTAATCCAACTGAGAGGAGGATTCGTTTCTCGAACATCCTACCAATTATGAAATTGATACTATGAAGAGCCCAGGAGCTTCATGCAGGAAATCTTCCTGCCTACCTAACCGTCTAAGATTGGACATGTAGTGATACTGATTGCACCCCATATGCTTGCTGGCATATATCCGTCCGGATACCAAGACTGCTCAGCCTAGTAGGAAGTCGATAGGATCCATCCACACGAGAGAGTTGTAGGGGAATTTGTTTATCTCCTAGGAGAAATTAGCAGCGGTGGCTTCGGCCTCTCTGCGCTGATTGAACGTATCTCATTCCGACGCCTATGGGGGCCGTGGTGAGTAAACAGCAAAAATCACCACGTTAATCAAAATAAACCGGTGGAAACCCCCTAGGTATGACGTTACTGTCCATAAGTCGATGTTATTTCAGCTTATTTTTAAAGAACAACATCAGCTTAGTCGGTGATGTATCGAAACTACTTATGGCGTGCTGAGGAAAACAAAATAGTTGGAAATCGCCATCTACGTCTGCTAGTTTCGGTAAATTGCTGACGAAAAACCCTATTGTTCTTAAGTAACTTAAGTCAGGATAAATTTAATAAAAATATTATTTTCGTAAACTGTCTAATGAGTATTAATAGCAGACAATGACTTTGAAATGGATACTTTATCTACGAACAGTCTCGTCTGCTTTTATTATTTTCTTTACTTTGTATATAAATTAAGTAAAGCAGGAACATATTTATAATTGTGATAAACTTATTGTAGGAAAACTTTGAAGAAAATATATCCCACCTGACTCACTGTTTTGACCAACAAAATCATTCGCATTCGAAAGAGAATTTGGATATTATAAGTCAAATCGAAAAAGCAGTACAAAACAATGTTGATAAAAAGCACAGTCCAATAATAATATACGGCAACCACTTCTCAGGAAAGACAGACACTTTACATGCCCTCTATGAAAAATATTAATTATTATAACTGGGACACCCTATATATACTGACTGATAATTTTCAAAATCATTAGGCAGATGGTGGGATTACCCACTTTTTTGTAACAATACACATGTATTAGTTTACCTCATAAGATTATAAGGGTAACTCAAGAGACATCACTAACTTCATTATTACTTGATTTTTTCTGTGGGAGACTTAACGAGGAATTTACGAGAAAATCCTTTTATCGGCGTGCCTTTCGTTTATCACATGAGATCCACACACTACATGTTATTGGGATAATCAAAATACGTAGTAAACAACTCAAAATTATTTCAGATAAAAAATCCTGCTATTTATTAGCAAAATTTTGACGTTCCGCTTAACTGGTTTTGAGTATTATCGAGGTATTTGTGAAATTGTATAAACAGTACCTATATGTAATTAACAATTTCCATTAATTAACACTGAAGTAAGTTTTACGATATTTTAACATTATTTTAGCATCCGCAAGAACTTCAATTAGTATTTTTTTTTCATTTTCATTATAATTCTTTTAATAAAAAACAACAATAACAGTTGAACTTGGAAATTTTGATGAGGAACATTGATAAAGGTTTTTTACTTGAAACGGTTGTGATTTGGTCATTACAAATTAAAATATCTCAGAGAAAAAAAATGGAAAGCATTGACAATGATATAACCAAAAACAGTTTTAATNTAATAAAAAACAATAACAGTTGAACTTGGAAATTTTGATGAGGAACATTGATAAAGGTTTTTTACTTGAAACGGTTGTGATTTGGTCATTACAAATTAAAATATCTCAGAGAAAAAAAATGGAAAGCATTGACAATGATATAACCAAAAACAGTTTTAATTGACAGTTTGAAAGTAAGTAGCTACTTATTTAAAACTTATCCATCTATATCTAAATTAAACAGAGTTAGGTATTAGAAACTGATAGAAGACATACCTAAGAAAGAGTTAGTTCTAAATTTTTGGTGTATATTTTTTTGATACAGTGAAAGCTGATGTATGCTTTATGGAAATTATTAAGAGCTACCTTCAAAAAAAATTCCAAATATCATGCGTTTGAACTATTATCAAATCAAAGGGCCTTGCAGTATTTATTGTTTCATTTTAGGAAATTTGGGAACGTAGAGAAACTCCATTCACAAGTATAAATAAAGAACAAACCATGAGTAGATGCACTTTTCACCTTATGGTAGGGAATCTAAAATATTAGAGTATTTTTCCAAAATTGCAGATGGATCGACAGACCTAAAAACCTAAACGCGTCACTGTTCAAGCCACGTGGTCAGGTTGAGTCTACTGAATGATTACATTACCATCAAATGTGCGCCCCTAACTTGACAGCCAAGGTCAATGACGAGCAGAGAGTTGCGACGGCCAGTGAGGTCCGTGGTACGACCTTGCGGTTGCGCAACCGACTACTACGGATCAGTGCTGACTAGTGGACGACTAGATAGCGGCTACTGCAGTAGTCCTGCAGAAGCTTTGTGATTCTTACTCGGCGTTTATTTCACAACTGATGATTTTACTACAATAAAAACCTTTTTCCCCTATTGGCTCTGATTTTCTATTATTATTATTATTAATCATCATCATAAGGTCGTCAATTCTACGACTAGTTGGACACGCACCTCTACTCTTTCCTATCCTGAGCTAATCTTCGCATTTCTTTAAAACTAGAACATCCCATATCCTTCACTATTCGTGAACAGTAATCTAATCTAGGTGTACCTCTACTCCTCCTAATTCCTGTTTCTGCCTCTAACATGTCTCTGACTAAACCTTCATGGCTGACAAGGTGTCCTATTTCTTATTTACTTCCATAGAGTCCTCAGTTCTCCTATTCTTTCTAATACCTCTTCATTTCTAACCTTCTGTATTCACGGTATCCTCATCATTCACTTATAATGCCACATTTCAAAAGCTTCTAACCTTTTATTTTCCGCCGCGCCAATCGTCCCTACACCTTTATCAATCTTTTTCGAATTTCTAAATTAACCGTTCGCGAGCCTCACTAACTAATTATTTTTATATTAATATGCTTCACATTGCGCTATATTAGCTCCTTTAAGTTTTAATAGTGTAGTCAGATTACGTCGACCAGGCCGCGTCACGGAAATTCAAGGTAGCCAATCGAAAGTGATCGTTGAGTATATTAATATAAAAATGGTCAGTCAGTGCAGCAGTAAAATGAATGCCTAGCAAACAAGGATGATGAATTACTACAGGATTACAACTGCTCTGATCGCTATTTAATCGACCATCAGAAAAGAAGCTAGGGATATCAACTCATATTATTATGACCATAGAAGCATCGCTTTGATGCTTGGTCGCGACTACAAACACTACTTTCTTGAGCGTGGTGTCTGAGTGGAGAATGGTCAGCTTACGAGGGTGGATTGATAAGTTTCCGGCCTAACCAAGAGATGACGCCACTAGGCCTACCTTGAGGTGACATTCTATAGTACCATCCTTGGATAGCTTGTAGCTATAGTTTCAGCCCGATCTCCTTGCTAGTGTAGGTTTGACAGCACGCTGAACAAGACGCCTCTGTGGTTTTCGTAAAAATGGAAAAGCAGGAAAATCGTGCTGTCATCAAATACTTTTATTTGAAGGGGTTAACGCCGAAGGAAATTAAAAAAGAGATGGACTCAACACTGGGGACATCCTCCCCGTCATATTCAACCGTTAAGCAGTGGGTTTCCGAGTTTAAAAAGGGTCGTGTGAGCACCTCTGATGGGCCTCGCTCAGGACGCCCCGTTGAGGTCACAACTCCAGATATGATCGAAAAAATTCATCAAATAGTGCTGGGAGACCGCAGATTGAAAGTGCGTGAGATAGCTGAGACCTGTAAGATGTCATATGAACGTGTGCAACATATTTTGCACCAACATTTGCATATGGAAAAGCTCTGTGCAAGATGGGTGCCGCGTTTGCTAACAGTCGACCAAAAATTGATTCGAAAAAACATTTCTACCGCAAATTTGTCATTGTATAAGCGTAATCCAAGCGAATTTTTGCGTCGATTCGTAACCGTTGACGAAACGTGGGTCCACCACTACACTCCTGAAACCAAAGAACAGTCTAAACAGTGGATTGGACCAGGGGAACCAACTCCAAAGAAGGCAAAAACAATTTTTTCGGCGAACAAGGTTATGGCTACTGTTTTTTGGGATGCAAGAGGTATTATATACATTGATTACCTTGCAAAGGGTAATACTATCACTGGTCAATACTACGCAGACTTATTGCAACGTTTGAGCCACGAGGTGAAAATTAAACGACCTCATCTGGCGAAGAAAAAAATCTTGTTTCATCACGATAACGCACCAGCGCACACGTCAATCGTTGCGACGGCTAAAATCAACGATCTAAAGTTTGAATTGATGCCGCACCCTCCTTACTCTCCAGACCTAGCCCCGAGTGACTATTTTCTGTTCCCTAATCTCAAAAAATGGCTTGGCGGTAAGAGATTTGCGGACAATGAAGAAGTAATCGAAGCTGTAAATGGTTATTTTGAGGAGCTTGACGAATCAGTCTATAGAGATGGCATTAATAGACTGGAACACCGCTATGAGAAATGTATCAGCCTTGGAGGAGATTATGTTGAGAAATAAAAAAAAAAAATTTTTAAAAACCTTGTTTTTCTTGGTCAGGCCGGAAACTTATCAATCCACCCTCGTATATGCCGGTGTGTGGATTCTATTCGCAGTTCATGCACCTTTTTTTTCTATTTGTTTATTTACTTTTGTTAATTTCTTTGTTTGACGGATATGTTTAGGATCATAAGGTTATGATATGGAAGACAGCACTCACTGCTATGCTTTTTTTTATTTGATATTTCCGCGACTTATTTCCAAGTTCCAGCATAATCCAACGCTTTATATTATGCTCCTATGATCATAATAGATACAGATAATACGCATGCGCATGCAAAGGAGCCAAAGTATAATCGGTCCCTTAGCTTCTTGTGGCCACCAGGGCACACTCATCCATTGATTATACTCTTAATAGTTAGTCGCCCCGCCTCTAGCCGCGTGAGCGCCGCAAACATATCTCTCGAGTCGTCGCCACTCTTTGACCATCGCGTCCCGTCATATTAGCTAAGGAATCCTATAGTCCAAGCAATATGGGCGGGTGAGTGGAAAAAATTACTCAAATTAAACTTTTTTACTCAATTTTGTTCGGAAGATTCTCCTGAATACAATGATATAGGTTACCAGCTGGTAACCCGGTTGGATATTCTATAAATCAAATTCAGGCAGGACTCGATATGTTTAAGTCCTCAGCAACTTCTCAAACGGTGATTCGATGATTGACTAATACTATTTTCTTCACTTCATCAATGTTTTCATCTATTGTTGACGCTCTTCGTCGTTCACATCTTCTCGGCCCTCTGAGAACATTTTGTACCACCGATAAACGTTGCTAAGGTTCAAGGTTCACCATATGTCTACAGTGTAACTTTCTTCCTAGAACTGAAAAACAATTACAAGAAATTTAATATTGTTGAAATGATTCGGCGAGAAAAGCCGAACCCATCTTTGGTATCTAATTACAGTTGTCATTAATTGAATTGTTTCCTAAAAACTGAAAAATGGATTGAAATTCATTTCTTTTATAAGTACAATATAAATCTGATTGTACGCAGATGGAAAGCGGCAAATAATACAAGTCGAACATTAAGAACGCGTTGTGAGCGTTCAACAATTGACAAAACGCGTTCCGGCTGTTTAACAGTTACCAGAACGCGTTGCGAGCGTTTATAATAGCCAAAACGCGTTCTGTGCGTTCGAAGGCAGCCAGAACGAGATGTGACCGTTTCTTCCAGTCACTGGCCGTTTTCGGTCTTCGGGCCTAACATATATATAAAATATTGACTTCCAAAAAATCATATTTTTTTGTAACATAGAATTGAAGCACAGATAATAGTAACAATGATTTCATTAAAATAATTCGAAGTGGTCTGTATTCTGTCGAAACTGCCAGACGCGAATCGCGATTTCGATCTTTTTGGATCTCATCAGAGCGTCGCATACGTAATCCTAAAATAATTTCATTGTTTTTGGCTGGGAACCTATATCGTTACATTAAGGAGAATTTTCCGAACAAAATTGCGTAAATGAAGTTAATTCGAATAATCATATTGCCCGCACTACTAAAAGTGATGTATGTACTATTACTGTTTTCTATTGGTTATTGAATAATAATAAAATGTAGCCGTGGTTAGTCTTCACCTGCTTGGATATATTTTCTTAGTACCTAGCAAAATTTCTTTTGGTATCCTCCTATTTGTCCCCAAGATCATTATAATATTATATTATTACTAAATCGTTGAAATGCTTCGAAACTTTTAAATATGTACGTTCCCAGTAGGTACGAATATATTTTTGTTTTTATTATTGCATTAATATATGTTAGTTTAATATGTTTCAATAACGCTCACCAAAAAACAGTTCCATTAGAATAGATTTCCACAATGGTATAAAGTTGAACTTTTTCCTTGAAATTATTTTACTCATCATGAAATGATAGTCTACGTTTGTAATTGTAAATTTTCTGAATATTTCAAGATGATAATTATATCAATTTGTAGAGGCCGCATAAAATTTTAAAGCCTTTGAAATAGCGTAGTACATGTTTTCGCGTGACATGCACCTAAATATAAATAATAAGAAATTTTATATTTTGTAGTAGGTGGTGGGAAATATAGGTACTGAGTTCGTTGTGAACATGTGGATATCCATGAGAAATATGATTACATACATAGGTACATTAGAAACTAAATATCGTATATTGCATAATAACTTATGCTTTAAGGCAGGTAGAGAACACTCAGTTGTCGAAAGTTCTTGAAAGAATTTTGTCGGTCTGTTCAAGCTTTTAGTTTTTTGTAGCGCCTTTTCTTACATTTTGGTCGCCCCCCCCTCTCATTTTCTCGGTTTTGATGCATATCGATACAATCGATAAATAAAAGATTCAGATAAGAAAGTACATTTGCGATGAATTACCTCTGAAAGCGACACATCATTTTTATGTTTATAAAATTATTCATTGTAACACCTACCATGTGACTTTCACTAATTAAATCATGCAATTAATTAAAATGCTGTAAATAAAATTATTTGTAATGTAAATGCTAATGTTCTTCCGTACTAACCCATTACCTTGAATAATAACTATCTTGATGGTTTTTCTTTGCGTCTTCAATTTCTATTATTTAAGAAGTCAGCATCAAGAAAAAATTAAATACATCTACAAAACATGTAATATACCTATGCCACTTTAAAAATTTAAAAAATCTTGTGCGACTATAATTTGGTATGTCGACTTGAAATTTTCATAATATTTCAAACGTAGACATTAGTCTCATGATGAAAAACAGAATTAAGAAAATATGTTCAATCTTTAACCACTTCGGAAATCTTTAAATGTATCTTATGTGACCTCTCAAAGTTTTTTAATCGAGCTGACTTTTGGGGAGCATCATTAAAACATGTTGGAATCACATGTTTTCACGCAATATTAACAGTGAAAAATATTCGTTTTCTGGGTCAAATGAATGCTTTTCTATATTTTTTGCTGTTTATCAGGATGTTATTGAAGAGCGGCACAAAATAACGAATGAGTGCGAAAGACAATTACAACAATTTATCGGTAAGGTTGAACGTACAATCCCATCCGAAAATCGATGTTACTTTACGTGAGTTTAATAAATTTTATTGATTTTAACTTGTACATAAGACCTAAATATTTTTAGAGTGCCTTGGAAAAACGGTGGTGTAAATACCGACGATAGCGAACACGAAGCTTATCTGGATAAATTTAAAAGTCAGATGTTATCCACTATTAAACGATTAATTGATAAGTACCTACAGGAGAAACCGGAATTGAAGTCCAGAAAGAAAATTGTTCAGGTAAATATAAAAATAAATTTAGAAAGTTACGATAATAGCTAAAAGTGCCCAGGAAGGTTTCAAACGAGGCCTTTGGTGATATCTACGGAATCTAAAAAAAATCATTATTTACTGTGCAATATACAGATAAGGCAAAATGTTTACTGAACATAGAAATTACACATTTCTTTGGCGGTATTTTTTCATTTTATGCCGTACGAGAAAAACTGCATAACATGGTGAACGCGTAAAACTTTTTTCAATCACATCATTTTGAAAATATCACCTGCTTTTTTAAAAACTGCCCTAAATTAACCAAACTCTCAAAATCTTTTGAGCTAAGCGTAACATCCCTCAAAGGTTTTCATTTATCCCTACACCACGTCGTATTTTTTAAAAGGTGATACCACCCTTTGATGACTGCATGTAAAAGAATATGCCTATGTTCGGTTCTCAATTCACCTTTACTGTATTTACACATATTAAATGGTACTTGGCTACCATCTAGTTAATTAAAGCAGTCGTGGCTGATTTAGTAAAAAATAAATTCAAAACATTTACACTTGTCGATATCACACAAGAAATGCGATTCAAATGAACTGTTTCACTCATGGGAATATTGTGTTTGCCAAAATCAAAAATAAACTTTTGGTTGCCTTATTTGTTGTTGAATCTATTGATAAAATGATTCCCAAATCGACATAAAAGTTATGTATAAATTTCCTAATACTTATTAGCTTGTTTACAAGCCCCCTCCCCAAACCGTATTATCATAATAATTTAAAATACTACAGTAAGCAGTAAATATCGGTAAGTGACAATAAACCGTCCATGTGAACGTGCAGGGGGACAGTTAAGTGTTAGGGTAGGTACGGTACCTAGCATTAGTATGAGGCTAGCGATACACGATGGCTAAATTACCAGGTATGTAGCACACTAGAAACTGAGGTTATACCTGTAGACTAATGGTTCGTGAAAATATTTTCGCTATACTTGTCAAAGGGGGGGGGGGCAGTTCCATAAATTCGAGGTGGCTGAACAGTGCCGAATTGTAAGTAATCCAACTGAGAGGAGGATTCGTTTCTCGAACATCCTACCAATTATGAAATTGATACTATGAAGAGCCCAGGAGCTTCATGCAGGAAATCTTCCTGCCTACCTAACCGTCTAAGATTGGACATGTAGTGATACTGATTGCACCCCATATGCTTGCTGGCATATATCCGTCCGGATACCAAGACTGCTCAGCCTAGTAGGAAGTCGATAGGATCCATCCACACGAGAGAGTTGTAGGGGAATTTGTTTATCTCCTAGGAGAAATTAGCAGCGGTGGCTTCGGCCTCTCTGCGCTGATTGAACGTATCTCATTCCGACGCCTATGGGGGCCGTGGTGAGTAAACAGCAAAAATCACCACGTTAATCAAAATAAACCGGTGGAAACCCCCTAGGTATGACGTTACTGTCCATAAGTCGATGTTATTTCAGCTTATTTTTAAAGAACAACATCAGCTTAGTCGGTGATGTATCGAAACTACTTATGGCGTGCTGAGGAAAACAAAATAGTTGGAAATCGCCATCTACGTCTGCTAGTTTCGGTAAATTGCTGACGAAAAACCCTATTGTTCTTAAGTAACTTAAGTCAGGATAAATTTAATAAAAATATTATTTTCGTAAACTGTCTAATGAGTATTAATAGCAGACAATGACTTTGAAATGGATACTTTATCTACGAACAGTCTCGTCTGCTTTTATTATTTTCTTTACTTTGTATATAAATTAAGTAAAGCAGGAACATATTTATAATTGTGATAAACTTATTGTAGGAAAACTTTGAAGAAAATATATCCCACCTGACTCACTGTTTTGACCAACAAAATCATTCGCATTCGAAAGAGAATTTGGATATTATAAGTCAAATCGAAAAAGCAGTACAAAACAATGTTGATAAAAAGCACAGTCCAATAATAATATACGGCAACCACTTCTCAGGAAAGACAGACACTTTACATGCCCTCTATGAAAAATTTACATCTTGGTTCCCTTGTAAATTGTTTCGAATCGTTCGTTACGCTTCTGCTACTCCTCGTTCTTCTTACAATCTAGAGATGTTAAGGATACTCTGCCAGCAAATTAGCATAGCACTCAAATTACCCGAAGGTTTTTTGCCAAAGGATGCGTCATTTGACCTATTATATTTAAATAATTGGTTTCAAAAGCTATTGAAACTATTCGAAGAAAGAAATCAAGTTCTCTTAATCTTTATCGATGATTTACATCGTCTCAACATCTTGGATTCTGATCTCGTTTCCGGTATGAGCTGGTTTCCTAATTCTTTGCCGAAAAATGTATATATTGTGTGTACTACTAGCTTAAGGATAGATGCTTTACATTTCAATCTTACGCAAAAGGAGACGTACAAGAATTCCGACAGCTATTTCGAACTACCCTCCAATGATGGTGATGAAGGTAAGTCAATCTAACATATTGTGACGTGAATCATTCTGATTCATAATTAGAAATTTCCATGAACCTGCGGGTGTAGGTATGAGTCTAATCTATCGGAGGGTGTAATAAAAAACAAATCAATACTTTTCTACCAATCTTTCTAAAACTAATGGCTTTTTATCTGTCTTTTGTTTTTCATGTACATTTAATTGATAAGATATCGTTATTTCTTTTGTTTCTGCACAATTCTCTATTATGAAACTTTAACTGTATGATATGATTTTGAAATAAATTTTAGATCAACTTAAATTGGAATTCGATAACTTAGAAGAATGTTTTGGCTGCTCCGCTGTATCTAGATTATGTTCCCTAATAACTTGTTCGGAATATGGATTGACTGAAATAGAATTATTAGAAATTCTAATGCCGACAAGCAATAGTGAGGCTGTGATTAGTACTGATAACTCTAACTTTAATTTTGCTTACTTCTACGCTATATGTATTAGAATGGGTAAGTAAATTGATTAATAACTTACGATTAGACATTGCTGTCTTCAAAATAATTACAAAAATTTTAAATATTTCGGTTGTTATTATCATACTCTTTAATCTATGAGGTTTAATCATTTTATTGCTTTCAATTATCATCAACATTTTTCTTTTGAATTAATTATGGACTTTTAACATGAATATACCTTCATAATCAGTACCAGGTGGCATTCCAGAATTTCGAGTAACATTGAAATGTTTCAATTTTACCATCTTTTCGCCGCATTTGAAATGTATACGATACTATCATTAACTATTATTTTTGATTAAGTGCAACATTATACAGTGGAACTAGGTTATATTAATGGGAAAATTAATTTTAAATTTTCTACCCACTATAATCTATCTCAGGTTAATGAGGGAAAATTTGTTGCTTTTCATTTCTCAAGATATGTGTGTATTGAAAAATCTTATAGATTTCCTAAATAGCCTCGGAATTGTATACATTTCATAAATTTCCGGTAGCATGTACATATGTATGTACATCCAATTTTTACTTTATTGTAGTGTATAGATCAACAGCCGATCATTAATCATTATTCAATTTCAACCATGTCTTCTGCTAAATTTACATAAGTATATATTGTATACCTCGCGAATAACGACACTCGGATATTACGTCAAAATATTGCCGGTTCCTCGAGTGACGCTATAACCAAGTTCTACTACATTTAAGTTGTTCAGGCAAGAAATTATTTAGTTCAGACAGCGGGAACGGGAAATAACTCCTCAAAAGTGTATCTTTTTGCTCGCAAAAGAAAACTATTCACGTAAACAGTTGTAGCTTTAACTATTACAATTTTTAAGGTTAAATGTTCCAATCTGTTAAAATTAAGAAAATCGTTTTTAGATAAGTTATTGAGGAAAAAGTATTTAAGCGGAAAAATTTTATTCGAATGGAGTCATGCATTCATAAAAGAATTTTGTTCAAAACGCTATTTATCTAATCAAGAATCTGTTAAAAATATCCACACCGAGATATCTAATATGTTCTTCAGCGAATTTATTAGTGAGGAATTGGCCAAGACGGAAACCGAAAATGGTATTCCAAATATAGTGAACGTTCACAATAAATAGATAATAAAAAATTTTCATTGCAGAATCACTACCATCAAGTGAAAAACGTTGTTCTATCGAATCAACGATTCATAGCGACGTAACATATACGACTAGACATATTGAAGAAGCTTGGATTCATTTGCTTAAATCCGGGGATATTCAAAGGCTTAAAAGCTTAATTCTTTGCAATTTCGATTTCCTACTAGCTGCTGTAATACATTACATACTCAATACCTTCTAATACTAATACATTTTTATCTGTGTTCATCTTCAGATACAAACCACTTCAGTAAGCTATATCCGATGTGTGCTGGAGCATAATAGGTGCTATATATTGGACAGGGAGATTGAACTTATTTATTACACCATTAGAAAAGCTGGAGAAGTATTGACTAGAGATACGTTCCAACTTGGAACTCAGGTAAGTAGATATATTTATCTCATCTTAAATTGGAATCACTGAGCAACTTTTAAATTCGATTCGTGAAAGAGTGCCTTACCAGACTTTAGCGTTAGGAACAATAACAATGACATTTCCTTTTAATTGCTTTAAACTCCTATAAAGTTTTTTACTGATGAGTTATTTAAAAATTAAATTTGAATGTTTGTGCGTTAATACAGCATTTTGATTGTTTAATTTGTATCGTATTGTTCTGGAAAGCTCCTAATAAACATATCTAAAGTTTTTTTTTTTAATAAGTACCTAAACTTATTATAATCTTTATTGCTTTTAATTAAATCTTGAAAAATTTGTCGCGTCCTCACTCTAGTGAACACAAAACAAATTGAAGTTTATTGGCAATAATTTCTCAATATATCAGAATCTTGTTATTATAATTTTGATGAAAAAAAAAATACAACGTGTAATTATACAACACGCTACTGAAGTGAAACTTCTTCAAACACACAAACATACCGGGATAGGGATTGGTTTAATGGTATTATTTTTATACTATGAATTTAAATTTTACACTATACATGCCGGAGTTGCCTGTAACGAACGTTGCATTGAAGGGCGTTCACAGCTCAAGCGATCACAAGACATCCGTTGCATGATTTCGTTATATAGCAACTCGCAACATAACACGAGGGCAGAAAAATAGTATTACCAAAGTGTATAGATACAGAATATGTATGTACTGCGGCATCACGGCGATACTTCGTACATGAGAGCCCCTGCTTAGTGGGGACTCGTAGTTGAAGTGGTGCAACATCAGCAGGAGGGGGTGTATGGGAGTGATTGGGAAGTTACCCTAATATATACAATATCTTTATACTCTGATAACACTATTTGTATTCACAAACGTTTATTTATCTCACATTCCACTTAAGTAACCTTGTAACTCTTTGTATTTGCATTATTTACGAGGGCGGTTCAATAAGTACCCGTGTTTGAAGACGGACGGAAGAGGACGTTCCTGAGAAAAATTGGTGTTGTCATCGTGTGCTGCCATCTATTAAACCACGTCAAAACGAATTTCAGACTAATTAATAGGTTAGTTTAGATTTGGCAGCCATTCGACTTTTCGTTAAGATGAAAAAAGAGCAGTATCGTTCGGTAACTCGCTTTTTGTTTTTGGATGGGAAAAAATGCGAGGAGATGAAAACAAAGTTGGATACTGTTTATGGAGACATTTCGCCATCTACGACCACAGTTAGATATTGCTTCAACGAATTTAAACGTGGGCAAAGATCCGTTTTTGATAGGAGCGACCAGGAAGCCTGGCAAACGTTGTTACCGAGGAAATCATTTTACGGATTTTTTAGGAAAAGGAAGAACGATCACTGGACAATACTACAGTGAGTTATTGGACCGCTTCGACAAAAAATTGAAGGAGACACGGACGCATTTGACGAAAAAGAAGGTGCGTTTTCAACACGATAACGCACCGGCACATTCATCAGGAATTGCTGCCGCCAAAATGCATGAATTACGTTATGAATTTGCTGCCGCACACCCCGTACTCACTCGATTTAACTCCCTACGACTTCATCTTGTTCTCTAGCATGAAGAAATTACGAGCGAGATAGAAATTTAGCTCAAACGAGGAAGTCATCGCCGAGACAGGGGGGATTTTGGAGAGTTCTACAAATCTTATTTTTTGGAGGGGTAAAAAAAATGGCAGGGTCGTTGGGAGAAGTGTATCTTTCTAAAAGGGGACTATGTTGAAAAATAAAAAAAACAAAACAACACGGGTACTTATTGAACCGCCCTCGTATGTTACCTGTTTATATATCAACCGTATTCAACTACTCTCTCTTCTTCTGATGTGTGTCTCCTATTTATACTAGCATTAATTTTTCCACTTATTCATAAATTTTCTGAAACCTTACCAAAATTGACACACATATATTCCTACATATGGTCACATACTGTCTCTATTTTTCTAGCGTTTATAAAATTACCTTGAATTGAACAGCGAATTGTGTAATTGTTACATCACATTATAACATTCAGGAGGATAGTGGTTTGATTCCGTGTTCTGCTGACTTGGTGCAACTTTTGAAGCAGTTTCTTTACATTGTATAGGCAAATGGTGGAATAGTAATATTCCATTGATAGTCTTTCACTCTTATACTGTCTTTATTTTGTCCAAATGGTTCTTATCTCTCTAAAGATAACCAACTACCAATTTCTACGATTTCCAAAAGTCAAAAAGGGAATTCCACCCAACCCACCACTTTGAATCGAAGTAAAAGTCGATGAAGCAACTCACCCATTACATTAGCTTATGACAGTAGTTTACAAACTTTATGTATCTCCGTTCCCTTTTCTATAAAAAAAAATTGTTACGACGCTTTCAATTTTCGTAATAATCGAATTTCACAAATACTTGCCTAGATAACTCCACTGCTTCCCTTGTCCTTGTCAAGATCTATTTGATGTTTTTTGACATAATACATTGTATGTTTTTTAAGCGATTTGTCAGGACTGTCGATGTAGTGATAAAGAGAACCAAGAAGTTTGAATGATTTAAATAAATTAACGGTACCTAATAATGATCTCATTTATTCAACCGTATAGGTAATTTCATGGTTGAGACCAGTTTCACAACAAGGGGGTCTTATGGCAAACATAGTAACATCTGCAATGGCCTGGTGTGATGGCTTCTCGTTGCCCCTTTTGGTTCCTATGACTGATTGGTTACAACCACCTTTACCTTCACAGTCTCGCACAATGGTCATTCCTTCTGTTCGATTAATTGAGGCTACTCCAAATGGTCAGCATGTAGTGTGCGTAACAGATTGTGATCCTCAATTATGGCACATAATGAGTAATCGCCTGGTACACACATTTAAAGGTAATTGTATTTACTATCCTCTAGTAAACAATCACTAGGAAGAAGTGGCTATTCAAATATAATGTAAACAATTCCTTTCAATTTAGTAATTACGTGAAATTAAATGTTTTTATCAGTGGCGTAACAATAAATGAACTAGCGCTAGAGTTCAAGGCCCATGAGACCTCGCAGTCCCCCTTAACTGCACTAAAATCTAAAAAAAAAATTATAATGCATTGTGTTATCTGAGTACTCTCCGCAGCGCGTAAGAGCCGAAAGGGCCCAACTCCCTAGTGGCACAAGAGCAAGAGAGAGTTTTAAATGAGAAGAGGGGGCTAAACCTACTAGAACCTTACTACACCATTGATTTTTATATTTTTTGTGCTCAGTTAAATGAACGTTTAAGTAAATGCGGCTCAACCAGTCAATTGTCGAAAATACATTTGCGGTCAGAGAAATTATTAGAATAAATAAAATAATTCAAAACTATCCTAAAACGTGATTTGGAAAATGTTATATAAATTTTTAATTATGTTAGTGACAAATGTAATTATCTCTGTCTTAGCTCGAAATCATTACGAATAGTAAAATTATAACAAAGGTTTCGCCAGTAACAGGTTAATACAAAACCTTTTGAACCTTTTTCAATTTAATATTTCCATTTAAGTTAGAGATTAACGTTAGTACTCACATGAACTAAAATCATTATAACGTTTATAAGAAACATTTCTTTCAAAAGATATAAGAAATTTATAGTTTGACAGTTTGATGGTGATACTGAATGTGACCTTGATAACTTTTAAAATAATTTGAAAACCTCTGTTATTAATCACATATTAAGAATTAACAGAGATATCTTAGGATCGGAAAATAATGACGGGTGAATGTTTAGAGGGCATAAGGATTAAGCAAGGTAAAGTCTCATTGTTAGTGAATAGAATACTTTATTGTAACTTTAAGTTATATATTTAACATTACACTACTATCTTTTACATTTTCTCCGTGAAATAGGTGAAAAATATAACCCACTCTTTCTCTGCCCCGCCTAACCCTTCCATAGTTACTATTCCCCTATCCAATTCCTTTACATATGCTTTCACAATTCTTTAACCTTACAGTCATACCTCCCTTAGCCCTACCTTTTTTCTCCACCCTTATTACCTCAAATATATCCCAGTTAAAATTTATATCCAAAATCCCAAAAACTACTATCTTTGTTCTTTATCACTATCGTGTTTCAAGCTAACACTTTAACATTCTTTTTCCCATCGTTCCCTCCCACTTACCCGCCTATTCCCCATGAAATGTCCATTTTCCTTCCTTTTTAACCAATTCTTCTTCTTCTTCATCTCATACCCATACTATCCCATCTATTATTATTGTCTTACCTTTTACTCTAACATCTTCTGTATTCTTCTCTGTTCCATGCTCATGTCGTCTCTTATATATACCTCTGTCCCCTTTATTCTTTTACCATCTCTAATTATCTATATCGTATCTTCCCACTTCTCCATCCTTGCCGCATATATTTTCTTTTTAATTTTCGATACCTCCATTACTTCCACCTTCTCTTTTATTACCCTTTCCAAGTCGCTCATTTCCTTGTTCCCTTCTAATTCTATTCCAAATATTATTATGTATCGTTTCTTTTCTAACTCCATTTCCATTCTCCTTATATTTTCTTCTGTTCTTCTGTTTGATTCTTAAACGCTTTTCTATCTTCAGCTCTCTTATCCATTATTTCTTCCATTTCCTTTAATTTTTCATTTGTTTCTTTCTCACTTTCTTTCATCTTTTCTTTTATATTTTTATTTTCTTCCTGGATTCCATCAATTTTCTGTTCTAATTTTTTCCATCTTCTTTCTTCTTGTAAGTTTCTTTTGCTTTTCCTCATTTTCCTTCCGTTTTNTTTATTCGAATGGAGTCATGCATTCATAAAAGAATTTTGTTCAAAACGCTATTTATCTAATCAAGAATCTGTTAAAAATATCCACACCGAGATATCTAATATGTTCTTCAGCGAATTTATTAGTGAGGAATTGGCCAAGACGGAAACCGAAAATGGTATTCCAAATATAGTGAACGTTCACAATAAATAGATAATAAAAAATTTTCATTGCAGAATCACTACCATCAAGTGAAAAACGTTGTTCTATCGAATCAACGATTCATAGCGACGTAACATATACGACTAGACATATTGAAGAAGCTTGGATTCATTTGCTTAAATCCGGGGATATTCAAAGGCTTAAAAGCTTAATTCTTTGCAATTTCGATTTCCTACTAGCTGCTGTAATACATTACATACTCAATACCTTCTAATACTAATACATTTTTATCTGTGTTCATCTTCAGATACAAACCACTTCAGTAAGCTATATCCGATGTGTGCTGGAGCATAATAGGTGCTATATATTGGACAGGGAGATTGAACTTATTTATTACACCATTAGAAAAGCTGGAGAAGTATTGACTAGAGATACGTTCCAACTTGGAACTCAGGTAAGTAGATATATTTATCTCATCTTAAATTGGAATCACTGAGCAACTTTTAAATTCGATTCGTGAAAGAGTGCCTTACCAGACTTTAGCGTTAGGAACAATAACAATGACATTTCCTTTTAATTGCTTTAAACTCCTATAAAGTTTTTTACTGATGAGTTATTTAAAAATTAAATTTGAATGTTTGTGCGTTAATACAGCATTTTGATTGTTTAATTTGTATCGTATTGTTCTGGAAAGCTCCTAATAAACATATCTAAAGTTTTTTTTTTTAATAAGTACCTAAACTTATTATAATCTTTATTGCTTTTAATTAAATCTTGAAAAATTTGTCGCGTCCTCACTCTAGTGAACACAAAACAAATTGAAGTTTATTGGCAATAATTTCTCAATATATCAGAATCTTGTTATTATAATTTTGATGAAAAAAAAAATACAACGTGTAATTATACAACACGCTACTGAAGTGAAACTTCTTCAAACACACAAACATACCGGGATAGGGATTGGTTTAATGGTATTATTTTTATACTATGAATTTAAATTTTACACTATACATGCCGGAGTTGCCTGTAACGAACGTTGCATTGAAGGGCGTTCACAGCTCAAGCGATCACAAGACATCCGTTGCATGATTTCGTTATATAGCAACTCGCAACATAACACGAGGGCAGAAAAATAGTATTACCAAAGTGTATAGATACAGAATATGTATGTACTGCGGCATCACGGCGATACTTCGTACATGAGAGCCCCTGCTTAGTGGGGACTCGTAGTTGAAGTGGTGCAACATCAGCAGGAGGGGGTGTATGGGAGTGATTGGGAAGTTACCCTAATATATACAATATCTTTATACTCTGATAACACTATTTGTATTCACAAACGTTTATTTATCTCACATTCCACTTAAGTAACCTTGTAACTCTTTGTATTTGCATTATTTACGAGGGCGGTTCAATAAGTACCCGTGTTTGAAGACGGACGGAAGAGGACGTTCCTGAGAAAAATTGGTGTTGTCATCGTGTGCTGCCATCTATTAAACCACGTCAAAACGAATTTCAGACTAATTAATAGGTTAGTTTAGATTTGGCAGCCATTCGACTTTTCGTTAAGATGAAAAAAGAGCAGTATCGTTCGGTAACTCGCTTTTTGTTTTTGGATGGGAAAAAATGCGAGGAGATGAAAACAAAGTTGGATACTGTTTATGGAGACATTTCGCCATCTACGACCACAGTTAGATATTGCTTCAACGAATTTAAACGTGGGCAAAGATCCGTTTTTGATAGGAGCGACCAGGAAGCCTGGCAAACGTTGTTACCGAGGAAATCATTTTACGGATTTTTTAGGAAAAGGAAGAACGATCACTGGACAATACTACAGTGAGTTATTGGACCGCTTCGACAAAAAATTGAAGGAGACACGGACGCATTTGACGAAAAAGAAGGTGCGTTTTCAACACGATAACGCACCGGCACATTCATCAGGAGTTGTTGCCGCCAAAATGCATGAATTACGTTATGAATTTGCTGCCGCACACCCCGTACTCACTCGATTTGACTCCCTGCGACTTCATCTTGTTCCCTACCATGAAGAAATGACTAGCGAGAAAGAAATTTAGCTCAAACGAGGAAGTCATCGCCGAGACAGGGGGGATTTTGGAGAGTTCTACAAATCTTATTTTTTGGAGGGGTAAAAAAAATGGCAGGGTCGTTGGGAGAAGTGTATCTTTCTAAAAGGGGACTATGTTGAAAAATAAAAAAAACAAAACAACACGGGTACTTATTGAACCGCCCTCGTATGTTACCTGTTTATATATCAACCGTATTCAACTACTCTCTCTTCTTCTGATGTGTGTCTCCTATTTATACTAGCATTAATTTTTCCACTTATTCATAAATTTTCTGAAACCTTACCAAAATTGACACACATATATTCCTACATATGGTCACATACTGTCTCTATTTTTCTAGCGTTTATAAAATTACCTTGAATTGAACAGCGAATTGTGTAATTGTTACATCACATTATAACATTCAGGAGGATAGTGGTTTGATTCCGTGTTCTGCTGACTTGGTGCAACTTTTGAAGCAGTTTCTTTACATTGTATAGGCAAATGGTGGAATAGTAATATTCCATTGATAGTCTTTCACTCTTATACTGTCTTTATTTTGTCCAAATGGTTCTTATCTCTCTAAAGATAACCAACTACCAATTTCTACGATTTCCAAAAGTCAAAAAGGGAATTCCACCCAACCCACCACTTTGAATCGAAGTAAAAGTCGATGAAGCAACTCACCCATTACATTAGCTTATGACAGTAGTTTACAAACTTTATGTATCTCCGTTCCCTTTTCTATAAAAAAAAATTGTTACGACGCTTTCAATTTTCGTAATAATCGAATTTCACAAATACTTGCCTAGATAACTCCACTGCTTCCCTTGTCCTTGTCAAGATCTATTTGATGTTTTTTGACATAATACATTGTATGTTTTTTAAGCGATTTGTCAGGACTGTCGATGTAGTGATAAAGAGAACCAAGAAGTTTGAATGATTTAAATAAATTAACGGTACCTAATAATGATCTCATTTATTCAACCGTATAGGTAATTTCATGGTTGAGACCAGTTTCACAACAAGGGGGTCTTATGGCAAACATAGTAACATCTGCAATGGCCTGGTGTGATGGCTTCTCGTTGCCCCTTTTGGTTCCTATGACTGATTGGTTACAACCACCTTTACCTTCACAGTCTCGCACAATGGTCATTCCTTCTGTTCGATTAATTGAGGCTACTCCAAATGGTCAGCATGTAGTGTGCGTAACAGATTGTGATCCTCAATTATGGCACATAATGAGTAATCGCCTGGTACACACATTTAAAGGTAATTGTATTTACTATCCTCTAGTAAACAATCACTAGGAAGAAGTGGCTATTCAAATATAATGTAAACAATTCCTTTCAATTTAGTAATTACGTGAAATTAAATGTTTTTATCAGTGGCGTAACAATAAATGAACTAGCGCTAGAGTTCAAGGCCCATGAGACCTCGCAGTCCCCCTTAACTGCACTAAAATCTAAAAAAAAAATTATAATGCATTGTGTTATCTGAGTACTCTCCGCAGCGCGTAAGAGCCGAAAGGGCCCAACTCCCTAGTGGCACAAGAGCAAGAGAGAGTTTTAAATGAGAAGAGGGGGCTAAACCTACTAGAACCTTACTACACCATTGATTTTTATATTTTTTGTGCTCAGTTAAATGAACGTTTAAGTAAATGCGGCTCAACCAGTCAATTGTCGAAAATACATTTGCGGTCAGAGAAATTATTAGAATAAATAAAATAATTCAAAACTATCCTAAAACGTGATTTGGAAAATGTTATATAAATTTTTAATTATGTTAGTGACAAATGTAATTATCTCTGTCTTAGCTCGAAATCATTACGAATAGTAAAATTATAACAAAGGTTTCGCCAGTAACAGGTTAATACAAAACCTTTTGAACCTTTTTCAATTTAATATTTCCATTTAAGTTAGAGATTAACGTTAGTACTCACATGAACTAAAATCATTATAACGTTTATAAGAAACATTTCTTTCAAAAGATATAAGAAATTTATAGTTTGACAGTTTGATGGTGATACTGAATGTGACCTTGATAACTTTTAAAATAATTTGAAAACCTCTGTTATTAATCACATATTAAGAATTAACAGAGATATCTTAGGATCGGAAAATAATGACGGGTGAATGTTTAGAGGGCATAAGGATTAAGCAAGGTAAAGTCTCATTGTTAGTGAATAGAATACTTTATTGTAACTTTAAGTTATATATTTAACATTACACTACTATCTTTTACATTTTCTCCGTGAAATAGGTGAAAAATATAACCCACTCTTTCTCTGCCCCGCCTAACCCTTCCATAGTTACTATTCCC